TGCCTATTCTTTTCATTTTCTTATTCTCATTCATAATTCCAAATTACGAATGTTGGACCCAATCATATTGACTTCCAATCATGCAAAGATAAACTATTTTATCTCTAACCGTTTATTCAAAGATCTCATGTGCACGAGCAGTGTGACCCTCAATGGTTCAGGTGTAAGCTAGCCGTGGGCCCACAACCCTTTGTGGTCAAAACTCGTCCCTTAGAGTTACGATTAAGATGAAGCTCGTTTCACCTTAATCACCGAACGAATCAAGATTGGCGTCTAGCAACTACGCGTCATGATTCCCTAGATACAAATGAAGTGCCTGCAAGAACCTTCAGATATAGTTAACGTACAGTACGGTCCCTTCGATACATATGTCCCGATTGAACTAGAGGCATTGGTTCGTCGAGACCCCTTTATATGTTCAATGACGGTGCGATCGTTCTAAGTGTTGTAATCGTTACGTGCATGACTTAGAGAATTGAATTCTCTAATCATCACTTAGTCAGCTCTGGCTAGAGACTTAGAATGATTACAAACTTTCATAACACACAGGACATCCAAGACTATTCTAGCGATCGAATCCCTGACTACAATGCACAGACATCTCACTAGATTTCGGACTGCACGAACACTGGCCCTTGGGATGGTCCTCGGTGGAACTCTGGGACAGGTCACGATACAGCTGGTCCTCTAGTCAAGTCACGGTTATGTCTAGGTCATAAGGACTAATGGTGTACAACTATACCATAGATATCTCTACTCGATTATTGGGAACCACTTAGAGATTTCTAGGGTGAGGGAGTTCAGTGAACTCGTCAACTTACGAGCACCCACTTATGCATGCCGATATCACAATACCGTTTACTGATGAGATGCAGTACACATACACTAAGTGCTAGTCTCTTAATGGGAAAGGCCGATATCCTCATTGGTGGCGTAACCCTTCGACTAGGAACACGTTTAACAGTTATAATACTTAAGTAAATATCTCACGATTCTAACGATCAATTACTAGTACTTGTAATAACTGTAAGGACTACATCTATGCTTGTGACAAAGGGACAAAGATATAGATTGCCAATTTGTTTTATCATTAATACGAATAAAGGTTCGTTTATTACCATAATAAATACGAAAGACCTCAGCCACATGTTGGCTTGTTGGTCACCTACTCTAACACGTGGTTCTCCAGCCTATATTTTTCACCAGAAGCTAGCTTATCTTCGGAAAACCTTACAAAAGTGGAACTGGGAGGTCTTCGGTGATCTTTCCCAAACTATTTGCCAAAGTCGAAAACAGGTAAATTCTCTTGATTTGCAACTCCAACGGGGCTGGTCGGAGTCCATTCACGAGAATCTTGTTGCTTCCCAAAAACAATTGTTGCGTCTGGAGGAGTGGGAGGCGGAATTACTAAGCTCCAAGGCGAGGATTGCTTGGGATAAAAATGGGGATAGAAAGACGGCTCTCTTTCATGCAAGTATTAAAGATCGCCGTAGACGGGCCAATATGCAAATTAATAAGGCTGATGGGTCAGTTACTACTCAACCGCATGAGATTGGGGCGATGGCGGTAGCCCTTTTTCAGCTCTATTTTCGGCTAGTGATTATTTCATGGAGGAGGATCTTTTTGAAGGGGGTGCTAGTGGTTGTGGATAATGCCTTCAATGCTGAATTTTGTGCTATTCCATCGAGTGAAGAGGTTCTTGAGGCTATCAAGGGCTTGAACCCGTCGAGTTCTCCGGGTAGGGATGGTTTTACGGGGCATTTTTATACAGCGTGTTGGAATGTGATAAAGCCTGAGCTTATGAATTTTGTTGTGGACTTTTTTCGAGGGGGGCACATGCTGAAGGATATTAGTCTCACTACTTTGGTTTTGCTTCCTAAAGTGGAGAATGCGAGAAATTTGAGTGATTTTCGACCAATTAGCATGGGTAATTTTTCTGGTAAAATTGTGTCAAAAATTTTGGCTACCAGACTTGGTAAAATTCTTCCACTATTTTTTTCCGAAGAACAAGCGGAATTTGTACAGGGCAGACTGCAGACATATTACTTCCCATATCGTGATGGCACAGGAACTTACCAGGGATATTCATAGAAAATGCGTGGGTGGTAATGTTATTTTCAAACTTGATATGGCGAAAGCGTATGACAGATTGGAGTGGCGATTTCTACACAGGGCTATGCGAAGTTTCGGGTTCTCACATACAGCATGCGACTTAATTTACCGTAACATATGCAGTGTACGGTATTCTTTCCGAATTAATGGAGAGTTGGTGGGTCTTTTCAAGTCCTCTCGTGAGTGCGGCAAGGAGATCCGCTATCCCCTCTTTTGTTTATCTTGGCTCAGCAAATTTTATCGTTTAATATCAATCGTAAAATCCATAACTCGGAGGTGCAACCTTACAAAGTAGGCAAGAACGAATTGGCGGTGTCTCATTTGTTGTATGCGGACGATATATTGATCTTCACTAATGGAACAACTTCGTCAATTCAAAAGCTCATGGAGCTCGTTCATGCTTATGAAAACTCTTCTGGGAAATTGGTAAATACTTCAAAAAGTGCTCGTTATGTAAGGTAAGTGGGCAGAATCTGGGTGGTCTAATATAGAACAATTGACGAAGATTCGGCGAAGAAATTTTCCTTTCAAGTATCTTGGCGTTCCCATTTATACCGGTCGAAGTAAGATGGAGTATTACGAATATATTGTCAATCAAATTAGAGGAAAAATACAAGGCTGGAAAGGAAAATTCTTGAATTTCGCGGCTAAATTTACGATGCTTAGGGATGTCCTTTCTAGCATCCCTATTTATTCTCTAGCTTGTTCAAAAATTCCGGCTTTGGTAATTTCAAGTATTGAGCAACTTATGGCGTTTTTTCTCTGGAGTTCTAAAGGCGATTCAAGAATACATTGGATTAAGTGGCAGAAAATTTGCATACCAATCGAGGAAGGAGGCTTGGGCGCGCGATCCTTACGCCAAGTTATGGATTGCCTGCATGGGAAATTTATGTGGCAGGTTATGCAGGGTAACTCCCTATGGGCCAGATTTGCAAAAGCAAAATATTGCAAAAATCGGTCGATTCTTACTAGGCGTTCTGCTTCCCCTCTCTGGATGTCAATTAAATGTCACGAGAAGTCGCTGGCAGAGTGTGGACAATGGATCGTTGGTCGAGGTCACTGTAAGTTTTGTGCAGATAATTGGCTTGGTGAGGTGCAGGAAGGACCGCTGCCAATGGACGAGAATTTCACGGTTGCACAAGCTTTTGATAACCTTTCGGAATTCTTACATCTGATTCCTCAAAATTTGCATGATCGACTTAGATTTATTACATTGGACACAAGTAAATCGGACAACCTTGTTTTCTCGCTGTCTCCATCAGGTGAATTCTCGAGTAAAGAATATTGGAAGCATAATAAGGTTTCTAGCAAAAACGAGGGATGGACTTCAAGGATCTGGAAACCTTATTTGCCTCAGCGAACAAGTGGATTTATTTGGCAATTGATACATCGTGTTTTACCTGTTGATCAAAGGATTATTTCGCGAGGTATCCCGATGGTTTCTCGATGTGTGTGTTGACGTCAACCCATGCAAGAAGATTTGAATCATCTTTTTCTCCATTCGGAAGTTGCCTCTCAGGTTTGGAAGTATTTTGGGAGCCGATTTCAACTCCAAGATCAATTTGCTTCTGCTAAACATGCTCTCTCCGTTTGGATCCCGAAGCCAAATAATCTCTCGTATTACACGGCGGTTAGGTCATCGATAGTATGCCATATTTTTCGCGAAATATGGATAGCCCGATGTAAGGTCCACTATGACGGTGGGGTGATGCGAAGTAGCGAGATTATTCGTCGTATAATTTTTCAAGCTCAGCAAGTGCACCATATCTATACCCCTAGCCAGCCAAGTACAAAACTTCAAAATCATCAACTGGAGGCAGCAGGTTTTCATGTTGTACAGGTCCCGGTGAAAAATGGAGGTTGGTTCAAGTGGGATGCTCCTCCTACGGGGCATTACAAGTTAAATATTGATGGTTCGACAAGGGATGATGCTTGTACAGGAGGGGGGTTGCTTCGAGATCATAAAGGGGTATTAATTGCTTCCTTTTCGGTTTATCTTGGGAAGGGATCAAATAATGTTGCGGAGTTTTTATCAATGGTGTATGGTTTGCGTTTGTGTAAATTGTTGGGAGTACACAATGTGATGGTAGAGAGTGATTCGATGATAGTGATTAATGCTATTCGGAGTAATAAGATTATTTGGGAGCTCGAATATTTTCTTCGACTATGTTTTCGAGAGATTGATCCTTCGTTTTCATTTATGCATATCGTTAGGCAAAAGAATAATGTAGCGAATCGGCTAGCAAAAATTGGGCTCATGGGCATAAATCTCATCAGGAGTTCTTTACAATAGAAGCATTACCTAATGAGGTTCGAGCAACATATATTAGTGATAAATTGGGTTTGTTTAATTTTCATTCGAAATGATGACGCTGCTGCTGAAGATGGAGTTTTATAGTGGAAATTCAGGGCGCTTTGCATTTTCACCCCTGTTTGGGGTCATTTTTGCAATTCTGAGATTTTTCAATTCCACCCACCCCAGGGACTATTTTTGTACATTTAGGTTTGGTTGTCTAGGTAGTTTTGTTTATTCACTTTCTACCCCATTTTGGGGCTATTATGTAATAAACTCGATAGGGTTGTTTCTGATTTTTTATTACCATTGTACGGGTACTCTTTTTCCTTGTGTAGGCCCACAAGGTTTTAACGAGGCCCCAATCCTTATATAATAATGGAATAATAAAAAAGAAAATTGGCAAAAAAAAAAAAAAAGTAAACAGCCAAATATCACCCAAGGGGTAGCAGGCTCAATAAAATAGAACATAGGGGGGTCATTGCTAATCTTTTTATTCGAGGGATTTTTTCGACAATTCGAGATCGCAGAAGGGGTTATCCGCTAAAAGCTTGTAAACCATCTATCATCTGTGTATACTAACAGCAACCGAGCAAAGCAACAAAATAGACATCCATCAGTAATTTCAAGCAACAAAATTCATTAATCAGTAATATAACGACGCCCGTGCGATAGGGTCATCATACAAGAAAGCCCATCTAACGTCGGCCCAAAAGAACAAAAACCGAAGTAGGCTACAGTTTTAAATTTTATCCATTTCAATAAATTTCACGAAATATGTTTTTTATTCAGCATCATTTTACCAAAAACATTCCACTTAGTGCATCATTCACTACATTCCCTGTAGCCCCAGTTTAGAATTTAGCCAAGCACAAACTTCATCCATTTCCTCCGGGATAGTGTAGTGACCAAGCCTGTCAAATGGATTTCAAAACATTCAATTTAACAACGAGAAAAGATATGTGTGATAGTAATATATTATTACTTACGCGGGATACGATTTAAATGTCGTATCACGAAATCCAGTGGAAGACAACTTCTCCGCAGACTTCTCCCCAAATTTGTAAGCAACTACATCATCTCCTGCATTATTACAATAGTATGCATTGCATTATTATAACAGTTAAACTTCTATAAATTAATACAGTCAGGACTAGGGCTGACAAAATTCTATTAATTTAGCAAAATATTAAATTATCGAGCTAATAATTTAGTATGTTTTTACCGAGTCGGGACCGTAAGAAATTATTATTTAAACGAGGTTATTAATTTATCGAGGTTTTACTGTATGACCAAAGTCTGCTTTAGCAACAAACACTTTTGGTTATTTATAAACAATTGCAACTTTTACAAACAAGAAAACGACAGGCAGCACTGCCTCTTCGATTGTAGTTTAAAGTGAAAAGATGTTGTTCTTATTATTTGACTTGCCATTTCCAAGGTAGGCCGGTATTCTTCGTGAAGTTAACGGAATAAAACCAACCACATATATAATGAACGAGAATATATTACGAGTATAACCGATTATTTAGGATGGAAGGCTCGTTCATACCTTTGCCGTGACAAAGGAGGATAGGCAAGGATGCAGCTCGGCCTGCAGCTTCATTTTTACCTTCCAATTTGTTACTCAAACTCCTGGCAAAAAAATCGTGGTAAAATATAATTCCATAAAATTAGAAAGTGAGTGAACCAATTTTGAGAAAGTAGAAGATATAAATAGTTCAGAGACAAACTTTGCACATGGAAGCCAACCACTTAAGCCGACAACAGCACTCAAATTAGGAGAGAATTGGTTGCCATTTTCATATTTCCCGAGAGCGTAACAAGTTGCAGAGTAGAGAGATGTTGCTGCACCCATACTGAAGCCTCCAATACCGAGTTTGACTATGAAAAAAAAAATAATGATAACTATGTTATTAGCTAATTAATTTTCTCAAAGTATAATGTATTAAAGTTGACCACCACTATAAAGCTATTATGGTGCATGTTTGCAAAGTCAGTTACATTGGTTCGATTTAAGGGAGGCTAATGCAGGGAAAGAAGTTTGGAATAGTAAAATTTATATCAAATGACAAATGAAATAGAACTTGGTCCTCGTACAAAAAATCTTCTAACTAGAACACAATCGATCTAAAAACGGTCTTCCAAATCAAAGCTTGGTGAGCAATTTTCTCAGGCTTGATATTCCAAGCGTTATATACTTGGACGATTTTAGATGCACACTTAATATATGTATCTTTGACAGAACAGTTTTATATTAAAAGAACGAAACTAAATGAACTTTTGTGTTGTGGACTCTAAATTAGTGTCATTTTTTTATTACAACGAAGGTAAGTGTTGTTTAGTATAGATTATATCTATCCATATTGATTTTTCCCCATTAAAGTATATTAAGGAATTTATCTTAGATTAGGAATCTATTCTATTGAATTGTGGCTTTCTCTAATTCTTTATTATAAGATTTCCCAGATACGGAGCAACTTGATATTTGGAGGTATGACTGAAGTTAACTAAATACAGAAGCTCGTTGATTCCTCCTATTAATATGTAATAGCACATAAAGATCAAACGTAACAGGCATGTTGTTTGTCTCGGATTATTTGACCTGACTGTGATTTTTAAAGTTATAAAATGGCAATAATAATAAATTTATTATTGAAATTGGGGCCGTAAAATCCACTCTTTTTTTTTTATTTATTATTGATCAAACTTGCGTAAAAAGCGTTACACCAGTTATCTTGGTTACATAAGCTAAATCCTCACATAACAGTAAGACTATTCGGTCAGACTAAGTAGAATTCCAGTTGTTACACGACAGCAATGCACTAAACAGGCATAAATACTAGATCTGGATTAGCTATTATCTTTCCGAGAGTGTTTGTTTTGCAGTATTAACAGGTCGTATAATCATAGGAAACTTGAATTAAAAAAAAAACATAAAGACATTGCATCTGACAACTGATAAAACTCACTGTCAGAAGGTTCATTAGCCAATAAGCTCGCAACATACGTAGCTGAAGCATCCAAACCATCTAAATCATCACTCGCATTTTCTGAAAGGTCACTGACGTCAAACCCTATCAGCAACCACAAAAGATCATTACTTTCAGCAATTAAAATAGGAAAAATGTCACACAAGTTATTGACTGAAAAAAGACAACATATTTTTTTCCAAAACATGTGCTTCTTTTACACCTTGGAGTGTAACAGTGTCAGTTGACAGAGATTATGAATGTACTAAATTCATATTTTATGATCGTCTATAGTTGGTTGTTGACAAGTTATGTGGTTTTAGTCGAGTGCGAAGATTTTCAAGCTTCATACTTGCCTTTCTCTTTTCTACCGTAACTTATATTAAATTTCTTTGTAAATCTATACAGGTGATGGTATTAACATAAAAAGAAACTTACAAGCAGTTGAAGGAAAGCCCCCAAACAAAGTTATCGGTTGTTGAGGAGCAGTTGGGCAGATCCACTTTATCTGCATCCATATTCAAATTAATTAATTAAAAGATAAAAAATAAATAAAAAAATAATCAACCATTATTCAGTGGTTTGCCAATCACATATTCCAATTAATGACTGATTTCAAGTACTTCCACATGTAATAACTAGTATCCTTACATTCGGAAGAGGAAGGGTTTCCAAGAGAGTGGACCAGCTGCAAGGAAACGTGAAACCAAGGAGAGTATTAAACCAGAGAACTAACTGCAAAAAGTAGTCGTCAATCTAATGGATTGAATTGATTTCATGTCACACAACGAAATATAAACGGACAAGGATGTAAGAAGCTATGCCAGAATATCCATTTAGTAAGAGCATATGATTGAACACTCAACAATAAGGACTTATGTGACATTTATAAAGACTTTTCAACCCAATTCTCAACAATAATTTGAACATTCTTGCTTTCTTACTATTAGGGAACTCAGTTTTCCTAAGGCTAGTTCATCACACATGGTTATCTGAAAAATAATAGAATTAGATATACCCCCATTATTTTTGAAAATTTTGCTACAATTTCTAAACAAGTAATCTTGGATTTTACTGAAGATGCAACTCCATTAGCTATCCATGTGCAGTACGTCAATAACTATTTATAGTGCTCACCTCTTTCTTTTCCTTTGTGTATCACCATATGTTCAATTATGAGAATCAAATCAGATGTGGTAGATACATTAAACATGAAAAATAGGGTAAATTACGGCCACCCCCTGAGTTACGAAAAAATTCCTGCCGTTTGGGTAATTACAACCACCAATCAATTATGAATCTTCTTACACGTCCACCCTTATGGTGTCAAATTCAACGTAATCTTCTAGATTCCGTGAAATGTTTTCTAGTTTGTACTATTTAATGCAAAAATGCAGTTTCTATGCACCACAATCTGATATTTACAACGCAAGAGACACAATATATGAGCATCTTGTTTCAAAATGTGGAACTCGAATGGGGTAAAACCGGTACCAACTGGAGAATATTTCATATAATCTAGAAGATTCCACTAAATTTGACATCATAAGGGTGGACGTGTAAGAAGATTTATAATTAAGGGGTGGTTGTAATTACCCAACCAGGAAGGATTTTTTCGGTATTTGACCTTACCCCAGGGGAGGTGGCCGTAATTTACCCTAAAAAAATAAGCGAGATTGTGAACATAACAGAATCATGCATCTATTTCTATGTATTTGGAAAGGTAATCCTCAGTCCATTGAAGTCTTTTTCGATTTCCAAAAAAAAATTAATTGACAACTGCACCAACTCTTACAATTTCATTTTTTTTTCCTTCCACAGATTATAATCTTAAGAGCTACTAAGAATGGATGATCATCAATGTCAAATGCCCAGCTCAGCTCGAACATTTCTCCATCTGGGGTACGACCCAAGAAAAATTATGGCATTTAAACGTACATAAATCTTAATAGTCCTTAGGCAATTTTGACATTTAAATAGACATAAATGTATATGTAATTATTACAATACCCCGACCAGCTTTCGATTTCAATAACTAAGAAATCCCTTGAACTACTAACCCCCTTCGAGATGAACGGTTTCGCAGTTACATTTACGTATATCTGAGTAACCCAAGGAAAAATAATCCAGCATGACATGTAGTCCTTAGGCAATCAAGATGAAAAAATCGATGGTATATTGATAACTAGTAACAAACCTCAAACATATCGCAATTAATCCATATGGTGTTTTATAAATGTGTCTTATTTAATTAAAATACATGTTACATTACACCAACTAATCTTCCAATATTCACCATCTTGATGAAGTCCATATGCATTATAGCAGCACAATAAGTGTGGACTGTGGTGCAAGCACAAACTGATGTCAAATTTCAAGATTCCTAAATTTGCACAATGATGCATGTAAATCCTTCCTATGTCATTTGCGTTACGAGCATAATTAAAGATGTTGATGAGGTTTCCAGTTGAGGAAATTCAAAAACACTGTTCTTTTTTAAGTTTATCCAAGGATGAATGTTAGAAGTCAAACTAGGATCCAATGAAAACATCGTGAACAATGACTTATTTATCTCCTGCAGAGCAAAAGAAAGATTGATCTAATGCAGCTAATACTTAGACAAGGTGCGGCCGTTGTGAAGTCTAGAGCTAATCTGGCAAATCAATAATTCAAACTTATTTGTAATGTAATAATCCCCTTATAGAAAGGATCTCTATATAAATATAAATTACCAACAAATAAGCTATATATAATAGCTTAGCTAGTTAACAGAAAAGAACTATTGTCAAAATTTAATTACTCGTCTCTAAGCAAACAAGGTATGCTAGGTCAGTGTACCCGTAGCCCTGAAAAAATGGTTCTTCTCTCATGCATAAGGCATAAAAGAGACCATGGTTGCTCAAACAGTATCAAATAATCAAAGATACGGAAAGATACAATGCATAGTAAAGAGGGGATTGGGGATCTAATAGAAAATTCTCTTAGAAATAACAAAATTATAAATTAAGACTGCCTTAAAGAAAGTGAAATTCATTTATCATATGAGAGAGGAGAGGGAGCCGTTGATTACCTATTGCCGTTGTCCCCGAGGCCATGCAGCCATACAATGGTAGCCTGGTGTTTACCTTTAGGCCTGACCACGTACGTTCTTCCAAAGTCGAATGCCCTCCTAGCAGTTCTACCAGCTGCTTACAATTTAAACTTTTAGTTTGATAGATTGGGAAAACAGAGAGCTTAAATCAACTCAAGATAGAAATAAACGAACACTAACCAGAAGCTGCAACCGAAGGACCGGTAAAACTCATGCTCCTCCCAATAAATGAAGCCTGCAACTTGCTGCGTAGAGAGATGACCGGCACCCGTAGTTCATATTTTATGTGCATTATCAAATAACAGTGCTTAATTCGTTGCAATTCATTTTTATGCAAAGTTCTTAAGGTGGTCTAAAAACCTCAGTATCTAAATTCATATACTCAAAAAGGATTGGAAAAATGATAAATATTAATTCTTGTACTTGAAACGTAGCTCCTCCATTCTTGTCTAGTGATGTGAAATATGATAATTCTAATGGAATTTTACTTTTGCAGGGAAAAAAAATTAAATCTGAAAGAAGAGACGAATTAGAGCAAATACATGATGATGATAAAGGTATGGGGATAAGGCATATGATGTACCTATATTAAATTATAAATTGCAAGGAAATGCAGAAATTGAAGCTCGGCAACAGAAAATCCAATTGTAGAGGAAATGAAGTTATCCGTTTCGCTTACCGGAGGAAATTCCGACTTTATGCCAGGGGAGAATGGCGCTGCTGCTCTCTTCTCTCAAGATTGCTTCAACCAATCGTACAAATTTGGGGTTTTAGCTCATAAATAGTTATTAATTATTATAATTTATAGGAATGTTTGGTTACATTTTCATCTCATTTTAATTCTTTTTTTCCAAAACCTGCTTGTTAAGTATTTTCTCTTTTTTTTTTTTTTTTTTAAGTTTCTCTCTATATTGGACATGACATGTCAGCATGGATGAAAATATTTTACTTCTGCAGTAAAATTTGTATTGACTAAAAGACAACAAAGATCAATTTATTTTTCAAATTCTTCTTGCAGAATACATTTTTCTAACAACATTAAACATTATTTGACATCTACAATGTATTGTCTAATTTCTAGTGTTCTAAAAATCGGCCGAGGCGGCCGATTAATCGGTCTCCGAGGCGGAGGCGGTCAAAAACCGTTACGATTTTAGTGTAAAGGTTTGAAAAATCGGTTTTTTGTCTGTGATGCGGTTCTAGGCGGTTTGAGGCGGTTCGAGGCGGTTTGAGGCGATCCGAGGCGGTCAAACCTTTATGGCGGGTCAAACTTCGGTGGCAAAAATCGGTCAAAAATCGGTTTTTTTTTTTAATTCAAAATAAAAGTTGGGAATTTTAATAAACAAAATATGAGCTTATGTTTTATTTTGTTTATGTTAACTGTTATTGTTAAAGAACTAATGATATATGTTAGGAATGTTCAAGAATAAATATAAATTCAAAAAAATTATTTTTTTATTTATATTTTATAAGGATATTTATGTATTATGATCTTATTATTATTAAACTTTTATTATTTTATTAAGATATACATGATGGAGATATAACTATGTTTAAATATCTTTTTATATATGTTTTGAGTATTTATAAATAATATCTAAAAATATATTATATTAAATTTTAAAAACCGATTTATTTCCAATTTATCACCGATTAATCACCGCCACACCGATTAATCGTGAGTCGGTCATTGACCGCCTCCGACCCGATTACCGCTTTTTACAACCTTGCTTATTTCAAAGTATAAACAAGAGTAACTGACACTTTATACCCTTGAATTACATAATTTTTACACTTTACACCATTAAATTGAAACAGTATCACTTTGCACCCTACTCCCTCTTTTTGCTTAAAAACTGACGTCCGTTTAACATTTAAGAGGGGGCCAATTATCTTTTTTATTTCTCACATCATTTTTTCACGAGACTCTTCCACCGCCAAACATCTTTAATCGACCCTTCACTTTTGCTCCTCAACCACCATCGTGAGATTCTCTAAAACCCCGAACCATACTCCGTACATTCTCCTCCTCCGACGTCGTAGGCATAGGCATCGCTCATATGCTATTTGGCACAAATATTTTTGTTCTATTAGGGGGGGGCAACCCAAAGTTCTCCCACAACATAGCCATGATCCAAGACGAGCACCTCCGTCGTTCCACTTCAAAGTGAAGCCATGAGTCTGCCCATTTATATATAGTAAGAAATCAAAGATCTTCATCACAGCTCATAGCACGCTGTATGCATGTGCTACTGTCCATGCTTCCCTCCCAAAACGGCGTCGTTTAACTCCCTTCTCCAACTTCAAAAGACGCGATAAGAATAAAACTGTAAACGCGTTTTAATAAGGTAAAACGACGTCGCTTAATAACATAACAAAAGAAATTCAAAAACGGTAAATTCCGCTACACCACTCCCTGCTTTTCCAAGCCATGACTCATGGCTTAAAATGAGGAAACTTCTTCTCTATCTCTGCCGCTTCCTCCCATGTAGCTTCAGCCTCTGAAAGATGTGACCAATGAATTAGCCGTTGTACATCAATAGTGTTATTCTTCTTTATCATTCTTCTTCCCAAAATAGCCACTGGAACCAATAACATCTGACTATCTTCATCTAAGGGAGGCAAGTTGGCGGGAACTTGCATGTGAGCTCCAATCTGTTTCTTTACCTGAGAAACATGAAACACAGGATGTAGGTAGTTGTAGTTCATATGCCACCTCTCCAACTCTTCTGATAATAGGAAATGGACCACAATACTTAGGTGTAAGTTTCCACATGTGGCTTTTCCTTAGACTCAGTTTCTTAAATGGTTTCAATTTAAGGTAAACTGACTCTCCTTCATTAAAGGATCTCTCACTTCTGTTTTTATTTGCATAATATTTCATCATTTCTTGAGCCTCACTCAAAAGTTCTTTCAACTTCTGAGATATCTTCTGATTTTCCTTCAACCAACTGTCAACTCTTTATGTCTTCTTGATCAAAGCTGTGGGGGAGGATATCCATAGAGTGCTTCAAATGCTTATCTCTACCTTATCTCTACATTAACTAAGTTAGACTAGAGTACTGTGATAATGCTTGCCAACTCTCGGTGTGTGTTTGGCCATTTATAGTAAGAAAACAACGGTCTTCATCACAGCTCAGAGCATGTGTAGGTCTTCCCTCCGAAAACGGGGTCGTTTAACTCCCTTCTCCAACTTCAAAAGACGCGATAAGAATAAAAGCGTAAACGCGTTTTAATAAGTTAAAACGACGCCGCTTAATAACATAACAAAAGAAATTAAAAATCGGTTACTTATGTTACATTGATAATACAGGTTGTGACTTGTAAGTTGAATATAATTTTTGAATACACATCTACCGGACGATAAGCACTTATGTTAATATTAATAATATTTTTCAAAATTTATGAATATACCACGATATTTTTAATATTTACAAATTTCTCCCACATAAACGTATCCAATGTTTCAGAATATGGAGTTTCCCCATGTTCGTATCCCCATTAATTAGCCGTGTCCGCGTTCCCATGTCCGTGCTACATAGCCATTACATCTACAGCAAGCATACATGAGATAATTGATATACTTTGCTTTTACGTATGGTATATATGATTCAAACATTTGCTTAATTATAAACCATAGAAATTAGGCCAAAATCAGTTGAATGAAGGGATTACACTGCCCAAATCTTACAGTATTACAACTCAGAAAGCCTACAATATACATATTTGCAAAGAATTACAATAAGCATCTTGGAAGCAAGTTGGAAAGCTTCTACAACTATCAGTTCTCACAACACTCAATTTAATCGTAGGACTAAATTCACACACGTATAGGAACTCGAAGATATGCAAATGTTTGGGATTAGAGATAGCTAATCTAATCAGCTTCATTAGCTAGTGTTATTTATGTACCCTTAAGAGCAGCAAACCTTGCAGCTAAATCGTCGTAGTCAGGTAATTTGGGATGCACATGCGGTGCCTGATTATCTGCTTGGAAAGTATTAGCGCGGCTAAGAACCTTCTCTGATTCTGGTAAAGCAGTCGGAAGAGAAACAGATCTACTTGGCGGTGGAAACAATCCAAGTTCCCGATAATCCGCATCTCTGCTTTGACTAATCGATGATTCACCATCATCACTAGTTCTTACATGTGAAGGTTTAGCCGACAACTTATTCCTCAACTTTACTTCATCATAGCTTGATTGTTTCTTGCTGTAATGAATCAACATCTTGTCCATCATTCTTTCCTCGTCATCCTTTCTCGAACGATCCTTTCTTCGACTACTGGAGCTCCTATTCACACCTCCGACATCTTCAACGATATAGTTGGACGATGATTTGTGGTGTTTCCTTTGAATTGACCGTGGTTTCGGCAAGGGAATCTGATAATCGACCTCTTTTCCGCGGTCATAATTCTTTACTTTAGTAGGTGCAACATTTTTTTCCGTCTTTGTGTTACCTGTGTCATCTTCATCCATATCAAAACCAGCATGCTTAGAACTTCTAGTATGCCTGTCTTTATCTTCCTTGGGCTTTGTATATGGAGGACAAGGGATATCGTCTTTTGATCTCACATACGGTGGTGGAGGGATGGTATAACTAGCGCAAGATTTAAACCTGTCAGATCCTTCATCCAGTCTTTTACTTATCGAGTTCATTGCATTATCTTGATTGGAACAGTTGTAAGAAATGACATTTTCGGTTTTTCCGGGATATTCCGTGCTTTCTCCTTTTCTTGGATTACAAGAACGGTTACTACGTGTAGTGGATCCCGTGTCAACATTATTATCCAGCACTTTCTCGTGGAAAGCTCTGTTTCGACTTTCTACCTTCAATTGTGCACCACCTTTGTCGGCAGGATATGAATGTTTAATTCCATCATCACCTTGCAACCTACTTCCTCCCCCCCTCTTCAATACTGACTTCTCTCTGTAATCGGTTGTTTCGTTCCTTTTAATGATATGATGATTTGATTCGTCTTCGTCTTTTCTCGACACATTAGTTTCACCGTAGCTGTGAATTATTCTCTTCTCGTCCAAAATTCTAGAGCTTTGTTTCACTATATCCGCTTTTTGTACGTCTACCTGCCAATATGGAATTGAGAATATCAGTCGTCAGTCACATACTCTGCACTCTAGTCATTCATCGATATTGTTTTCACCCCCATGAGTTACAAATATATAAAATACTATTCAACAACAAGTTTGTGGCGTATGAATATGATACTTGCCCCGTCAATACAAATTGACATGCTATTTTCATGTCGAAACAAGCTCAAGTACAAAGAAGAAAGAGAAAAAAAGAAAACGATCTTTTGCAATTGATATGGTCGTGTACCATCATGCAACATTACAGTACATTGCCCCTTGAACAGTGAGTTCAAAACTTATCTACACTCAGGAGCAGAGTAATAAAGAAAGTAGTCGACTTGGAAATATACAGATTTTCCGAATATTTATAACTAAACCAGTAATGCAAGGATAGTGCCGTATACAGTGGCGGATTTGAGGTAAGTCCCAGGCGGGCTCGAAAACATTTGCATTACTTCAGAGTCTAACCAGCCCAGTTATACTATTTGATCCATCTCACCAAATTCATCTACTTTTAGTTTATCACCCTAAGGCACAAGAGTGAGTTCATCTTGCAAATTATATTTATTAAGAAATGCATCACCAAAGTAAGATATTGACACTATCATCGAGAATTTTCGAAAATTACAAACTCGAAAGGGTTGATTGTAGTTCGTAAAGAATTCACATAAGAGGCTTTAATGATCAAATTTTGTACGTAGTATGTTTTAATTTATGACATTATTTATTAGATTATTCATATTAATCATCGAGAGTTTTCGAAAAATACAAACTAGAAAGGGTTGATTGTAGTGCGTGAAGAATTCATGTAAAAGGCTTCAATGATCAAATTTTGTAAGTAGTATGTTTTAATTTATGACGTGATTTATTAGATTTTATTCATATTACACAATGTACCGAACAGAATATCATAAATGATTAAAGATATTACCTGCTGAATTACTACTGAATGAGTAGCCGCCAACCTCCGCTGAAATCCACTAGAATGCCATTTAATTGAAAACTCGGAAGCTATATCTTGCAATACCTGGAGTCTCTTCTCGTTTGAAGGTGGCCTCGAAGATAGATTCTCGACAAACTAGCAATGAGGAAACGAACACGTTAGAGATTGAAACGAATTTGTATTCATTCATATACATTTTGTACGGGCTATGTAGAATCACTACCTTTTGATTAACAAAAACTTCTAAACAATGTCCATATCGCTGCTGAAATGTATCTCTGAGCTCTCGCAGTTCGGGCAGATCAGAGAACCTTGCAGCAGCATAAATCAGCGATGCAACAGCCTCCCTACATTCTTCAGGACATTCCCTGTATAAAAAAATAATAATTAACAATAGTAATTATAAAAAGATAGAAAATAAAAATTAATAGAATAAAAGTTACTATCATGATCAAGTAATACAGTGGGGAGCACTAAAAATATGCAAACAAACTATGTAACTGCATCGTAGTTGAACGGGTGCGTAGCTACGAAACCTTTCAGTTATTGTTTATTTCAGAAAATGGAAATGTTGGCTCTTTTCAAGATATCGGCTATATTTTTAACAGAAATGGTGACTGTTGTTTCAGTTGAAGTACTTCATCGGATGTTCTTCCAATGTAATTTGGTTCAATGAGAAAGATGATGCATGAATTCAGCAAAAACCCAGACCTATTCTTATTTATCCCCGTCTCGCCTTTGCCATGTTTTGATAAGCTTCTAAGCAATAACCATAAGCATTTTCTTACTAGCAATAAGAAAGTTTAGGTAGAAAAGCATGTTTAGAGCAAGACTGTACTCAGTCTGTTTTGCATCCACTTATTTAAGTGCTTTTCAACTTTCGAGTTAAAGAGAAGCACTTCTATTATTTTGGCATATAGGTGCTTTTGCTTGCTTATACTTCTCTAAAATCTAGTTAAAAGCTAAAGTAAGAGACAATATGCTGTTTTAGCTTATGTTTGTCTATGGATAGGTTGAAATTTATTAACCAAGGTTACCCTCGATTGGATGGATACTTAAACACTAAAAGAAATTTATTAAACTTTTGATTTTGTCCCCCTCTTTCCTAAAAATTATTTCGGTTTTCTTATGAAGGACAACGGTTATAAGTTTGTATCCTTTTAGATTCAAACAACGACCATGATAGACAGATACTAGACCCGAAAATGAAATGATATGAAGCAAGGTTCAAAAGAGATTCCTTGTGCAGATGATATCTATACACACACACTCACACATACATCAAACTTGCCAAAAATGAAGCCGTACACACGCGATTGGATCATACCCTTGTTTTTGCATTCTTGAAAGTTGCTTCACGATGCACTCGCAATATTGCTCAACAACGTCATACAAACACAAGAGGTTCAATCCAGCAAGATATTCTTCAGTCTGTTTCACACGTTAAGAAGTAGATATAAGTTCGAACCGAACCAATGTGAGAATATTTAGAGGCATGAAATGTATACCATACGTTAATATAGTTCTTGGCCACCAAATTACATCAAAAACAGAGAGAATATGCATTAAAAATCTACCAATTTCCACTTTGCTCGTTGTTGGCCAGATACAAAGTTAATTACTTTACACTACTTCAAAAGCAACAAAATCGACACAAATTACATTATCATGCATTTTTTCGATATTTAATTAATAAACGATTAAATAATATAACATTACAAACGCAGAATTTAATGATATTTTTTTTTATTTATTTAATCCTTATCAGTTGTTAGTGTCACTGTACTACTGCTAAAGTTCGACTTCATTTTGGTTTGTGAGCATCTTCCTCGATACTTAGCATAAAAGCAAATAAAATGAACTCAATCCTACTTAAACACGAGAATAAACCCCAAATAAAATCTCCGATTTTTGAAATGTATTGTCTTAAGGTTCGACCAACAGAATAATTTTAATACTACGAACAGCGTTGCGAGATTTGTCCTAGGTTATCGTCTGTCAAATTCAATCCGATGCGATTTTTATTTGACAATCTTCCCCACTGCTAAAAAAATACTCAAGACTCCAGTGCACCAAATTTAGAAGGAAATCAACGAAACGATGATTACCTTGTAAAAAAAACTCTAATCAATGAAGCAGTAGCAAAACTCTAATGAATTTAACAATTAATAAAAAAAAAATTGCAATAATACCCTTCCATAAGAAACAGAAAGAAGAAAGGAGTTAGAATGGAAAAAAAATACCCTTCCATAAGCGTTAATATCAAGGCCATTGGAAAGCAACTTGGCTAGATCTTCTCTCAGGAATCTTTGCTTAGCCTCCACTCTCCGTCTAACTACATCGATCCTTGCCCGAATCGTTTTTATCAGAGATTTGCTGCATTTATATTTGCCAATTTATATCAAATGAGATCAGAAAAAAATATATAAACATCACCGAAATGAAAATTGTGGATAGAGATCCGACCATTTGACGCTGAATCCACGACCGAGGATACCGTCCAGCATTTTCGATATGTGTTTGTTTTCTATCCGTTTGAAACAAAGAAATGGTGATTTCAAAAAGTTGAAGAAATTTCAGAGTGGAGAGTGGGACTCAAGTCTATAGTGTCGGTATCTCAAGTACCAGATAGAGACGGTCGTCAGTGCGTATTTGTTATTTTATTAAGGTTAAATCACAAAAAGGCCAGTGACAAATGCACTTAATTAAAAAGGGACATTCTACTTTTTTGTTTTTCAAATAAATTCAACTCATTCAAAATTATTTGTAGATAAGGAAAATTCTTTTATATATACCAAAATTACCCCCAATTCATTGAAACTCAATTTAATTCCAATTTCATGATTTACACCCCAATTTAGTCCAATTTCATTAATAACCAATTTTAACTATAATTTCAATTTTGACCCCAATTTTGACCGGCCACCACCGGAGACCGCCTGTCGCAGCCGGTCTCCGGCGTTGACTATTTTTTTTTTAAACCTTTTTTTTCCCTGAATTTTTTTTTCCGGCCGGTCGCCGGGTCTCCGGCGTTGACATTTTTTATTTTTTTAATTTTATAATTTTGTTTTATCTTAAAAAAAATACTATAATTAATATTACTGTCTTGGCTGCTAAATTACTATCTCCGACAGTTATTTAACCTGTCGGAGACAGTAATTTAACTGTGAATTGACTTCTTTTTTTTTTCTTCAAAAATATTTTAATTAATATTACTGTATTCATTGCTAAATTACTGTCTCTAGCAGTTATTATTTAACTGTTGGAGCAGTAATTTAACTGTTAATTGACTTTTTTATTCTTAAAAAAAATATTTTTAATTAATATTACTGTTTCGTTGATAAATTACTGTCTCCAGCAGTTATTTAACTATCGGAGACAGTAATTTAACTGTCAATTGATTTTTTTTTTTTTTTTTCTTAAAAAAAATATTTTAATTAATATTACTGCTTTGCCTGCTAAATTACTGTCTCCAACAGTAATTTAACTGTCTTAGACAATAATATTAATAATATTACTGTTCGGGAAAATAATATTCATAATATTACTGTCCCAAACAGTAATATTACTGTCTGAGACAGTAATTTAGTAGCCAAAACAGTAATATTAATTAAAATATTTTTTTCTAAGAAAAAAAAATTTGAAAAAAAAAAATAAAAAAAATCAGCGCCGGAGACCGGCGGTCAACGGTGGTTGACCGACCGGAAAAAAATTTCAGGAAAAAAAAAAGTTTTCAAAAAAAAAAAAACAAAACAAAACTCAACGCCGGAGACCGGCGGTCAACGCCGGAATGTGGCCGGAAAAAAAATTTTCAGAAAAAAAATTATTTTCTGAAAAAAAAAAAATTGGGGGTTAATGTGATATAATTGTTTAAATCCGGGGTCAATGTGTAATATTAAGGAAGTTAGAGCATAAATGATGGAATTGATAAGAATTATATTATGGAGGGTATTTTAGACTAAAGACATGTGGATGAGTTTAATTGAGAGACTGTTTTTTTTTTTTGTAGACCTATGTGCATTTAAGTCCCATGTGATGAGCCTTTTTGCCATTCGCCCTTTTATTAATACAATTTTCAATTGATATATGATTTTGACAACCAATTTCGAAACATTTAAAACACAAAATTTATAGTTATGAATGAGTTATATTGAAAATGGGTCATTACAAATAAGTCCATCAATCGTTACTTATTGATAAAGAGATCCAGAAAAAAACTCTTTTACCAATAAGTCCACATATGGTTCAGATTTTTGTTCAGATTTTTGTAAATTAATAAAATAGCCCCTCATGCTTTAATATGCTCATATTTCATCCTTAACTTAATTTAACCTCAATTTGACACCAAATTTTACAAATTATTCAATTTTGACCCAAAACGTTTTTTTTTTCAAAAAACTTTTTTTTTGCCGCCGGATTCCGGCGTTGACTTTTCAATTTTTTTTTCTTTTTCGCCGGTTTCCGGCGTTGACTGTTTCAATTTTTTTTTCTTTGTTTCTGTAACATTTGTTTTTCGTTTAAACAGCAATATTGTTGTGATTGACAGTAACTAGATTACTGTTAAACACAGTAAAATTAACTAAACTACAATTTAACACAATAATATTGCTATAATTGAATCAATCGACCCCGAGGAGCATAAAGAAACCTTGGGTTGCATCTTTATGGAGAATCGCGACTGCAAACGTCGTTAAGAAAAGCTTTGTTCGTTCTATTCAGGGCCATCAAAGGCGGTGGAATCGACTATGGGAGACGCTTCGTTTTTTTTTTGTAATGGCTAATCCCATTCTACCTCCACCATCGTCTCCATCGCCGGCTCTGGTGACGTCGCTCTGCTCCGCCGCAGCCATCATTTAAAAAAAAAATCGGAGAAGTTTTTGTTGTTGGGTATCTTTTGCAACAATATAGTTGTTTTCTTTATTATGCTATTTTGTATATTTTTTCGTTATTCTACTATTCTTTAGTTTTTTTTTATAGTTTTTGGTTGTTTTCGACATTTTTAGTTGATATTCGATGCAATCGAAATAAGAATATGACTTTGGGTTAGAATAGCAGACTCAGTTTGACACAGTAATATTACTATATTAATCTCTAGCACAGTAATATTAACACAACAAAACTCATTATTATTGTGTAATAGAGTAATATTACTATGTTGACCGTTCAACAAATGTAAACATTATAAAAAGCCAAAGGAATTAATATTACTGTGAGTGATAGTAATATTACTATAACAACAGTAATATTGCCGTCAACCACAGTAATATTACAATAATAGACAGTAATATTATTACGTTACTCCGTGAATAACTCAAACAAACAAAAAATTCCAAACAAAATAATAATATTGATGTGGTTGACAGCAATATTACTATAACAACAGTAATATTACCGTCAACCACAGTAATATTATTGTGTTTGCAGTAATATTACAATAATAGACGGTAATATTATTACGTTACTCCGTGAATAACTCAAACAAAACAAAAAAACCCAAAAAAATAATAATATTGATGTTGTTGACAGTAATATTATTGTGTTTACTGTTATTTTACTGTCAACGACAGTAATATAATTACGTTGACTTGTTAACAAATCAAACAAAATAAAAAAAAAACAAAAAAATAATAATAATATTACGTTAATTTAATGTCAACGGCAGAACAATTACATAAATGTATTGTCAACGGTAGTACAATTACGTTAATTAACTGTCGTTGACAGTATAATTACCTTAATTTACTGTTAGTGACAGCACTATTACGGTCAATGTTTAGCGGCGAACGTAAAAAAAAACTAAACAAAAAAAAAACTTAAAAAAACACTAAAAAAAATCAACGCCGGAGACCGCCGGTCTAACGCCGGAAACCGGCGAAAAAATCCGGAAGAAAAGATAAGAAAAAAAACTGGCAAAAAATTCGGAAAGAAAGAAAAAAAAAATTTTGAAAAGTCAACGCCGGAATCCGGCAGCAAAATTTTTTTTTTTGAAAAAAAAAATGTTTTTCGAGTCAAAATTGAATAATTTGTTTAATATTTATTATAAACAAAAGAAACATTCATGTATATCCTAATATTACCCTCAACTATTTATACCCAATTCTTAATTGTAACCCCAATTTAATCAATTTTGTCCACAAAAATCCAATTTTGACCACAAAAATTCAATTTTGACTTTTTTTTGAGAATACTTTAATATGCTCCAATTTCATCATTAACTTAATTTAATCTCAATTTGACCCCAAATTTCACAAATTATTCAATTTTGACTCGAAAAACATTTTTTTTTTCAAAAAAAAAAATTTTGCTGCCGGATTCCGGCGTTGACTTTTCAAAATTTTTTTTTTCTTTCTTTCCGAATTTTTTGCCAGTTTTTTTTCTTATCTTTTCTTCCGGATTTTTTCGCCGGTTTCCGGCGTTAGACCGGCGGTCTCCGGCGTTGATTTTTTTTAGTGTTTTTTTAAGTTTTTTTTTTGTTTAGTTTTTTTTTACGTTCGCCGCTAAACATTGACCGTAATAGTGCTGTCACTAACAGTAAATTAAGGTAATTATACTGTCAACGACAGTTAATTAACGTAATTGTACTACCGTTGACAATACATTTATGTAATTGTTCTGCCGTTGACAGTAAATTAACGTAATATTATTATTATTTTTTTGTTTTTTTTTTATTTTGTTTGATTTGTTAACAAGTCAACGTAATTATATTACTGTCGTTAATAGTAAAATAACAGTAAACACAATAATATTACTGTCAACAACATCAATATTATTATTTTTTTGGGTTTTTTTGTTTTGTTTGAGTTATTCACGGAGTAACGTAATAATATTACCGTCTATTATTGTAATATTACTGCAAACACAATAATATTACTGTGGTTGACGGTAATATTACTGTTGTTATAGTAATATTGCTGTCAACCACATCAATATTATTATTTTGTTTGGAATTTTTTGTTTGTTTGAGTTATTCACGGAGTAACGTAATAATATTACTGTCTATTATTGTAATATTACTGTGGTTGACGGCAATATTACTGTTGTTATAGTAATATTACTATCACTCACAGTAATATTAATTCCTTTGGCTTTTTATAATGTTTACATTTGTTGAACGGTGAACATAGTAATATTACTCTATTACACAATAATAATGAGTTTTGTTGTGTTAATATTACTGTGCTAGAGATTAATATAGTAATATTACTGTGTCAAACTGTAGTTTAGTTAATTTTACCGTGTTTAACAGTAATATAGTTAATATTACTGTCAATCACAACAATATTGTTGTTTAAACGGAAAAAAAAAGTTACAGAAATAAAGAAAAGAAGAAAAAAAAAATTCAAAAAAGTCAACGCCGGAATCTGGCGAAAAAATCCAGAAGAAGAAAAAAAAAAAAAAAGTCAACGCCGGAATCCGGCTGGAAATTTGTTTTTTGAAAAAAAAAAGTTTTGGCTCAAAATTGAATAATTTGTGAAATTTGGTGTCAAATTGAAGTTAAATTAAGTTAATGATGAAATTGGAGCATATTAAAGTATGATGGGTTATTTTAATCATTTACAAAAATCTGGACCATGTGTGGACTTATTGGTAAAGGA